AATTCGGGTTGCAACCAGAGTCGCGGAACGAATTAAGTTCGTGAACCGAGGTACCACTGTATAGTAGATGAGGTCACATTTCTCAGCTGAGTTCCAGGAAGCATTTGATAAAAGCATTGCTTGTTTCTTGTATAATCTAGAGGTGTATAATTACTATAATGTTTTGTTTTGCATACTTTTTAAAAAGTATCCAGCGATTTGGAAGAGGAGGGGTGTTAATGGCTAGTAGTATGAAGTGAAAAAGTGCAAAGCCTGAGGGAGAATTCTGTCCTGAATGAAAAGCAATAAGTACACATGAAGATGAATCAGAGATCACCAGATACCGCCAGAATTTAACACATTTCAGAGCGTAATCTTTGCTTTTCCTAGTGACAGAAGAAATTAACCTAGTGACGAATACCTTCTGATGTCCAATGGAAGGACAGACTAAATTCTCAAGCATCCTCTAAAGGAAAGGTTGAGAAATGGATTAAAAATAAACAGTCGTTTACATGTGTCCATCTGGAAAAATCAGAAACAGGGTTTTGGCAAGTCATTCACTTGCCAAATGAATGAAGTAAAATGAAGTTCATGGATGGTTGGGAATCAGTAATGTTTTTGTTCTTGTACTGAGGTAGCACTGGAAGAAAAGACCTAAAAATACAGATCCTGGCTCAAATCTTATACTGTATTAGAAGGAAAAAAATCCAGGTTCGTGTTACATTTCCTTAGTACATCATACACTGGAAATACTTCTGGAAGAAAATACTCAATTTTTTCTTGGAGGGGAGATACACCAAAGAAGGCTTATAAAACTGCTTATAGGTTGAATCCAGACCTAGCCATATATAGAAAACTCCTACTGAAATCAGTATGAACACGTTAATCAAAACGAATTTAAATCCCACTAATTTCAATAGATCTATTCAAAATAAAGTTATGAATTTAAATCTTAGGGTATTTTACTCAAAAGTTTCATTTTTCATTAATTTATCTTACCAGGAGCAGTAGAATAAGCATATAGGAAGTCTGCCTCTACAGGTATTTTCTGACACACTTTCTCCTCTGAGCCACTGTCTGTTTCAACTCCAGAATCAAGGTCTGTTCCTCTACAAGCCTATCAAACGCAAAACAGGAAAATACCTCAAACATTACTAACATTCTTCATTAACACTGATGGGATATAAATAAGTACACAGAGAGTAGAGATGCGCAGTATTCTGATTCAAAGCAGAAAAAGTGCCTGGATCCAGCATGGATGCGTTTACTTTATCTATCAGCAGTATCTTAAAGAATCCATGCCTTTTCCTGGTCTCAGAAGGTAGCTTCCTGGTCCACACAGCTACCATGCAAGACCAAGAAAAGACACGGCTTAAGATGCTGCTGACAAATACGGTGAGTGTGTCCACTTCATCTAAGAACACTGGAATATCCCTAAAGCAGAGAATAAGAGCCCTTTCATATACAAAATGAACATAACAAGTTGTAACATGTAAAGCTTAAGTTCCATATTAAATGTGGAAGTTTCATCATTACCAAAAGCTCTCTGAATCATATTAAAATTTCACACCACATTTAGAGTACTCTGTTGCAATGGAGGTCACAGACGAAATCATGCTCAGGAAATGGTTTTATAAATTGTACGTGACTTAGACTTGGGTCAAATGATGTTTGATCATTTTAATTTCTAAAGGAGAATGTTTCTGGTGTGGAAACTTCCACTTATTTTATGGATTATGAATTAGATTGCTTTATTTTGAAAATAAGCCCATTAAAAGAAAATAAATTCTCTGACTGAATTTCTTAAAGAAAGGACATAAAGATCTATCAGTTCTTGGTGTAAACACACAAGAATAATCTGTATTACTACACAAGAACAATTATGGTAGAAATATCAGAAGAGGGTTCATGTGCTTCCCTACGGATGCCAGAAGGATTCCACTTCATTACTATTCCCAATTCAATGTGTATTTTGGGGTGGGCACATCCGGTCCTTTGAGGAAGTCTTTTTTTTTAATTGGAAGATTTCTATCTCTCTACTTTGTATTAGTTATTACCTGAATAAAAAAGAGCTTTGGCTTCCCTCGCAAGGTCTTACACCTGTCTCCTCTGAAGAGGCTGGTTAACATTTTCAGCTCTAGAGGGCCATCTGTGCCATAAATCAGTCCATCGTCCCCATGGCTTAGCAAAACACAAGCAAAACTATTTCTCTTTCTGTGATCATCCTTGGCAACTTAAAGAGAAAATAAACAATAATGTTTATGTTGTGATCAGAAATTCCTGAGGTTGGACTTCTAGGATAAATTTGGTAACACCTTTCTACACATTAACCAAGACAATTATATTTGCTCTAAAATAAGACTTTTGAATGTTAAGATATTATTCCTCTGTAGAAGCAATGTTTTAAGTATCCAGATACCTTTCAAGATGCAGAACATAATTTGACTCTAACCTATAGAGGTTAGAGGTTAGGCTGGTGTGGGTCTACAAAAAATGAAATATGTAGCAGCTATACACTGGGTTGTATACACTGAAATGTTCAACATTGTTTTATTAAAACCAGAAACTAACAAAAATGGGAAAAGTGAAACAAAGCACTTTTGAATACAACAAATTTTACTCTGAAATCTAGCTTTGATTTGGATTTAATAATACTCAGACTGGCTGGTGTGGGTCTTCCGGGCTGTGTGGGCGTGGTCTGGAAGTTTTGTTTCCTTACGTTTCTCCAGCAC